CCTCCAAGCCTTTGCTCCGGAGCAAAGCCTTGGAGGCGCGGGACCCCGCCGCCTCTGCGGCTTTGCTCGGGGTGTCCCTGGTCTGCTGGGGACCGGAGCAGCTTTTCTCGCCCCGGAGGATGCGGTGGTGGGACCACTGCGCGTCTGGGTGGTCCCGCCGCCCGCGAGTTCCGGGGCGAGAAAAGCCCCGTTCGTAAGTGCGGATCTGACATAAGTCGGATCCGCGTAACTCAGGGACTGCCTGTACTCTACAGATTTTACAGAGGAAGACCAGTGTTTTCTTAGGGATCCTCCGGAGCAGCTTTTCTCGCCCCGGAGGATGCGGTGGTGGGACCACTGCGCGTCTGGGTGGTCCCGCCGCCCGCGAGTTCCGGGGCGAGAAAAGCCCCGTTCGTAAGTGCGGATCTGACATAAGTCGGATCCGCGTAACTCAGGGACTGCCTGTACTCTACAGATTTTACAGAGGAAGACCAGTGTTTTCTTAGGGATCCTGACCCAATAGGGAAATTGGGGGTGGGTGTCACAATGGTATTTTAGGCGGATGATAGTATTGCCACCCTTCAGGGTTGCCCTCAGAGCTGGGCGGCCAGAGAACAGCAGCTGTTGGCTGTGTGTCGGAAAGCACTCCTGTCTATAACGCTCTGTTCAAACTGGCACAGGTCACAGCAAAACTTTTGTCTTTCAGGAGTACAGGGAGTTTAACATCTTTGAAAGACAAAAAAAATTGTAATTCAATAACAGGGTGTTTGATTTAAATCACCAAGTAAAAATAATATTCAAGTTTTCAAATAATACTTCACATATTTTTTAAACAATGGAGGAGATCTGTTCTAGGGATGTTAAAGACTAGTCAACTACTTGATCAGCATTTGCTTATCAGATAGCTCTTACCATTTAGGAGGAGTTCTTGAACAAACGGACTTGCAGACAGACAAAGAGACATCCTCACAAACTCTCTAAAATATATTCTAGAATACAGGTTAGGTGTCTGAACTGAATGAAAACACACCAAGTTATTACAGCCTGAAAAAGGAGATGGCACACACCAGAGTAAAACTAGGACATTGGTCTGTTTGCTGTGGCAAATCTTATGATGAAGAGAGCAGTGGAAAGAGACCTCACCTTCACAGTCTGCTACTTGTTTGGTCCATAGTATCTTCACTGATAGTAGCCATGGTAATGAGGTTGTCACAGTTCTTCCAGTGGGCATTTTGTTCCTCAAGACTTAATTACATGCAAGTTTTTGCAGTTGAACATGGAGCCCCTTAGCATGGACCCATGTATATTGGCTTAAAAATGTTTGTTTTGGTTAGATTGTCAGCAATAAACACTTGTCAATGATAAGGGGTTGCAGCACTTTAAAAATAAACAAAAACATGTAATTAAATGATTTAGATTACCAATCCTTAGAAACCAGCCTGGGGCTAGTGTAATAATTGCTGACAACCACAGAAAAATTGACTTATTTTTACTTGTAGCTTTCAAGTACAATGTTTGGTTATGAGTTTTATAGTGCATTCTTGTAGTAGGTTAACTAAGCTACCATTCTGTTTTTTATGTGATTTCATACCTAAATTTACTAAACATTGAAGGTGAAAGGGGAGGGTGGATTTTTTAAATATTTATACAACAGTGAATAACTGGAGAAGCAACTGAAACTGACACTTTGAGTAAACACATTTAGATGTTCTCTTATGATGTACTGTATGTTTTTTGTTTAATTGTAGGAGTATTATTATGTCTATTATTGATGTCTAATTTGTTGATTTCTTGCACTATACAGTGAGCCTGTTCATGCCAAGAAACGAAAACAGGAAAATGTGATTGACAGATATGAGAAAATGCCAAGGCGCATGCAGACTGAGCCAGAAAAAGAAATTATTCACCTGCTTCCTATCAAAGACAAAAGTGGTATTATTCCACAAACAATGGAAAAACCAGGTAAGAAACAGATACTGGATTCAACATAACAGCGCCCAGTGGGGTTGTATTTTATTAATTTTTTAAACTCGAGTGTCTAGTGTTATGTTTGTAATAGACATTTTGTTCTTGCAGTTGTCAGTGTTGCACAGAATGAAGAGGAGAAAGATACAAACGAAACGGAGGTAGTAGAAGGTAATAACAATATCCTTAGTTTTACACTAAGGCAACTGAACAGTTATTTTTTTATTTAATAGAAAAAGTAGTTTACCACAGAGTATGTTCTGTTCAGGAGGCTTTGGAACAGACAGCTCAGTTTGGTCAAATGTCATTTTACCCACATGATTTGGCAGGAATTCCTGTTTTGCTTCATGCTCACCCACTAGAATTTCAGGACTTGAAGGAAAAAATTCAGTTGCTGATATCAGAATTACATTACTTAATATCATTTTGGTGTGTTGATGTCTTCAGAATTGTTGCTTAGGCTAAGCTAAGAAGCCTCATTCTTGGTTCAGGAATCTGTGGCTTGCCTAATTCATGGTTATTTTATTCCAAAACAAAGAAACTTAAATGTCTGTATCCTTAACTTTTATCAGCCTTTTTGAGTGTATATTACCTTTTAATATTTTTTTTAACTTGAGCAATCAAATGTGAGAAACCCAGAATATGTATAGAAATGTAGCTGTGTTAGTCTTTTAAGTGCTACATAGTCATGTTTTTTGGTTCAGCTACACCAGAATAACAAGATGGTTTATTAGGTGATGAGCTTTCGTGGGCCAGACCCACTTCCTCAGATCAAATAGTGGAAGAAACTTGGCACAACCATCTATACCAAAGGATACAATCAAAAAAAGAACACATATGAAAAGGACAAATCAAATTTCAGAACAGAAGGGGGATGAGGAGGGGAGGTAAATGTCTGTGAGCTAATGATATTAGAGGTGATAATTGGGGAAGCTATCTTTGTAATGGGTAAGATAATTAATGTCTTTGTTTAGACCTAGGCGTAAAGTGTCGATTCTCTTTCAAGTCTGGTGTTAAAAGGTCTTTGAAGCAGGATGCAGGTAGTTAAGTCATTGAGACAATGCCCTTTCTGGTTGAAATGGCAAGAAACTGTTTTTTCTTTGTGATCCTGTCTAATATCTGTTTTGTGTGCATTGCCTTTAGAGCTGGACACCCAGCCAACATTCCAACTGCTGCTCTCCAGTTGCCCAGCTTTTAAGGCAGTTCAGAAGTAAGGGTGGCAATACTGTGATCCTCCTAAAATAACCTTGTAATCCCCCTGCAACTCCCTTTTGGGTCCAAACCCCAGTTTGAGAAACACTGGTCTGCTCCATAAAATCTGGATAGTACATGATGAAACCACACAAAATACAAGATTTCATGGGATGACATCAGATTTCACAGTCGATTACACATTTTGCATAGTTGTGAGTTTGGTAGGGTCCTAAGTATGTTAGGTTGTTGTACATTTACATCAAAATACTGTGTTGCAGATTCTCTCCCTCAACCTTCCAGTATTTATTTGACTTATGAATTGGGTTTGTGTTAGGGATGTTAAATATCAGCTAATTGAATAGTCAGTTAACCTCGTGAATTCTTTTTGGTTACTTGACTGAGCTGTAGACCCCGGGGGTGGGGCCGGCAGCCAGTGCGCTCCAGCCCCACTGCTGAGGAGCCCCCTGCCACTCCATGCTGCTGCCTCTGTATCATAGGCAGCAGCATGGGATGCCAGGTAGAAGCCGGTCCACGAGGGTAGCTAGTTTAAAAACCAGCTTCCCTTGCATACTGGCTTCTTGTTGCCCTGCGCTGCTGCCTCTGTATCAGCGGCAGCGGTGTGGGGTGGCAGCTGCCCCTGTCCGGGGGGGGAACGCTGACCTTCCGTACCCAGCGTGAGTTGGAACTGAGCCGGACTGCCTGCCCAACTGGCTACTAATACACTTTAAATGCAAAGCCGCAGCAGAGGTAGGTCCTGGACCTGGTGCGATGGCCAAAATGTATTGGCAGATGGGGGAGGGAATGTGCAAAGTCTGTAGCATTAACCTATAAGATTTTGCTTATTGGTTGATTAGTTAATCAACTACACTATTACATCCTTAGTTTGTATGTGGTCATTGTGTACATAGTGAATATCACTTTCAAATTCAAAGCAGACATGCACTCTGCTCATTTTCACAAGGGTTATATACTCAGCCAGGGGAATAGTGTGCCTTACCGATTACCAAACTGTATGTGCACATTCTGGAGGTATCTTACATTTTTAAAGGCATTTAGAAAATCCTGTATTCCCTGTAGTTTAGAGTAGGGATGTCAAATCCCATTTAAAATGTTAACATGTTAAACTATATGTATAACTGGATAACTAGGCTGCTGCATCGTGCTGCAGGTAGGGGGCTCAGTCAGGCTGGACCAACCCTCCAACCTTTTTATTGCTGAGTCTAATTTGGCCTCCTGGTGGGTGGTTGTGAGGGGCCCTAGGTACACTAAGGATGCTAAATTGCGGTTAATTGACTAGTTGAGTAGTTGATGGAATTTCCATCGACTACTCGACTAGTTGATAGGCACTTATGCATTCCTCCTTTGAAATGTACAAGAGCCCACGCTTGGACTCTTGTACATTTCAAAGGAGGAATGCGGAACTCTGAAGTCAGCCAGAAGTCCTGCTGACTCAGGGCTGCATGTGGGTACCTGTTTTGAAATGTACAAGTGTCCCCAGCAGGGGCTCGTGGGCATTTCAAAGCCATGGAGTCCGGGGTCAGCAGGGGACTCTGCATGCTGCACTGCATGCCACATGATTCCCTATTTCAAAGGAGCAGCCACTGCACAGCTGATCCCCAGCTCAGCTGTGCAGTGCTGCTGCTTTGAAGTACAGCTTAGAGGCAGCAACGGTCAGGGGAGATCAACTAGTCGACAGACTATCCGATAAACAAATGCTTCTCAGATAGTTGACTTATGGCACGCATGCTGGCTGTTGTGATGTCAGATAGTTGACTGGTAAGCCTTGTGGAGATTAGGGTGGGCCTCCAATGAGCCTGCTACGGTTTCAAGGATCGGGAGGGCAACAACATTGTAAGTTCTATAGTTACTGAGTAAGCCTGTTTAGCCTGTCCAGAGGTCATCGAGAGAAGGGTTAGTGTTTGAGACTCTTAATATTTACAAGGATGTCTGGAATGTACCTGATAGTGCTGTTGCCACTCTCCACTTTACTTCCCTGTCCTTTTCTTCTCTCTGAGATCACCCAAGCTGATATCATTCGTGACTCTGTTCTCTCAGTCCCACAAGTTCTATATTTTTCCCAGCCTACGCATCTTCACTCCACGTACATGTGCGTGCAAACACCTTGTGAGCCCTTCCTAAGATCCATTTGAAGTGAACACCTTAGAAGGTTCATGGTGTGCACTTGCAGGACTAGGAAAAGGGGAGCACCAACCCTTTTGCTTCTCATAAAATGGCTGAATCAAATAATCTTACTTTTTAGTGTCTTCAGCTCTGTTTTCATTTTACAAAACTCTGCCTCCCCCCTCAAAAAAAAATTAGACATTTCTTAATGTTGAGAATACCTATTTTGCTTTAAAAATTTTAATTTAGGAACAGTCTGTCATCATTTTTATTGGAAACAGGTTTTTTTCTACCAGAATGATGGGTTTGCACTTTGAGATAACTTAAACAAATAAATGAAAGCTCATATCTCCAGTTGTAGTCATCCTATTGTAAGTTAATTGGAGCCAAAAAACCATTTGGTTATTAACTAAAATCTTAACAATTTGAAATACATTGAATAGAGTAAGGTTTCTCATTATGTTACCTTAGTGGTTTCTAGCAGATCATTAAAGAATGGGTACTAACAGGAAAAGTTTACTATTAAACTTTATTGTATTAGTATCTAGGAGAGAACCCCAGCCTGTGCTCACTACAGAGGAACTTCTAATTCAAAGGAGAATGAAGCTGCAGGAAAAGAAGATACACATTGCAGCCTTAGCAGCTGCCATTTTGTCTGACCCAGAAAACAATGTGAGTAGTGTTAAATTTGTGTGTATGAGATACAGTAAATCAATTAATTGCAGAAAGCTGACGTAACCAAGGAACAGCAAAGTCTGCAAAATGTTTTGTATCAATGGAAAACCCAAAAGTAACAGAGACAGAATAGCAAAGGGGTGCCATGTTTCTTGGTAATTGTTTTGCAAACAAAGTAAATCTGGGTGACTGTTTGATATTGTTCAGACCCAATAATAGTTGACGAATGCCCTTGATGGTTTTGATGGGTTGGATGAGAGGATGATTCCATACATCTCCCATTGCACCAAGTCCCTTAATTCCTGTGAGCATAACCTTTTCTTTGGGTTTTGTTTGCAGGCTCATGATTGTACCCTTACTTTTCAGTTTTTCTGTATGCACTTTAATATTTTCCTGTCATCCTGTTTAAAGTTGTATTGACTTGCTAGTTGAAACTTTCCTGAACTCTTAATTAAATTAGTTTCTTTGGGTCTTCTTGTTTCATTCCCTGGCGTTTAATAATGTGCACCAATCTGCTTGCGTAATATCACTTTATTATAGTACAGGTTGGACATGCCTGGTCCAACACCCTCGGGACCTGACCTGTCCCAGATGCAGGATTTTGCCGGACCAGGAGTGGTCATTTCTGGCTCTCCTACCCCCAGTCCTCTCCAGCCCTGGCCTGACCACTGCCCTTTCAGCTGGCTCCTCCCTTTTGCTGGCCCCGCTGCCTTGTCAGCCCCTCCTGCTGTACCAGGTAGCCCCTCTGTCTCTGCTTGCCAGGCTCCCACTGCTGCGACAGGCAGCCTCATTACCTGTGCACACACCAGGCTCCTGCTGCAGTGCCCACCAGATCCTCAGCCTCTGTGCCGGGCTTCTGCAGCCCTGCTGGGAAGCCCTGCTGCCCTGCATGGGGTTCCCACAGACTTGCTGAGAAGTCCTGCTACCGCATATGGGGCTCCCAAAGCCCTACTGCTAGACCTCCACTGGGACACTCAGGTCCTGGAACATCCATGGTCCTGCTGGACCATGGATGTTGTCAGTCCAGAGTGTCCCGGTTAAAAAGGTTTCATCCTGTAGTCTTATTTCCAGATATGATTATTTTCTTACCTCCACCCTTTGCTTAGAGTGCATGTGTAAATGTATTTCTCTTTGACATATAACCGTTATTTATCCTGCACCATATGTTTTCATGACTAGATAAAGAAGCTGAAAGAGTTGCGTGCCATGCTAATGGAACAGGACCCCAATGTGGCTGTGATTATTCGGAAGCTAGTGATGGTTTCGCTGATGGAAATATTCAAAGATATTACTCCTTCTTATAAAATTCGGCCTCTGACTGAAGCAGAAAAACATACCAAGGTGAAGCTACACATTTCTTCATATAATAGTGTGAATGGTTTGCTGATTTGAATAGTCTGCCTCCGATCTAAAACAGATGCTTAACAGAAATCTAGCTTTTGAATAAATTGAACAAATCTTATTTTAATATGAAGTACTTCTGAGATATGTTTACTAGGGATGTAAGTGACTAGTCAAGTCAGTACTCAACTAGTCACTTCTGCCCCCCCTTGCAGCCTCTATCAGAGGCAGCAAGCAGGTAGAGCAGGATCCAGTGCTGGGGGGAGCCAGCTTAAAATCCTGCTCCCCTCAGTGCTGTCTCTGCCGGGGGACAAGGGAGGCAGAGGCACAGTGAGGGACCAGGCAAGAGCCAGGACGTGGCTGTGCTGGCTCGCACTTGGTCCCCCGCTGCACCTCTGCTTTTTAAATGTTGTAAGAGACACCTCACTCTTATTGCATTTGCAGAGTGGAGGCTTGCTCCCAGTCCCCCACTGTGCCTCTGCCTTTTAAATGTAGTAAGAGCTGGGTGGTGTAGTAAGAGCCACCCAGCTCTTACTACATTTAAAAGGCAGAGCCACAGCGGGGTTAGCTCCTGGAGCTGGGAGCAAACCCAACTGCGGCTCTGCAGTTTCCCTCCTTATTGAGTAGTCAATGGAAAATCCATTGACTACTCAATTAGCTGATTAAATGCAATTTAACATCCTTAATGTTTACACTGCAGCATAGGCCCATGCTTGAGTTTGAGCTCAAGCTTCACCCCTTTACGTATGTACTTCAGTTGTCCTAAGTTCCTGTAGGGCTGGGGGGTCCGAGCTTGTGTTAAACTGAGACTTGGGGTCCCTGCCAATTTGCTTTACAGTGTACACACACATCCCTCCTTGATTCCTGGGAGTCAGCTGGAAGTATCCCACAATTCCATAGTCCCCTCTGTCCCAACAGTCTGCAATCCACTTTATTAAAAATGGAAACTACCTCCTTTGTGTGAATGGCTGCAGCTCAGGTCAGAATTAACCTGTTCTCTTAGCAGTGATTTGCAAATGCATTATCCGAGAACCTCCTGGGTTTGAAATGGAGAGCGAACTGATCAAGCCTTTTGCAAATTGCAAAGGAGGATCCTTCAAACTTTCAGGAATGCTCAGGGTAGGAAGTAAAGTTTTCACAGTGCACCACAGTTCTAGGCTAGAGCAGGCACATTTGGGGTTTGGGAGGAAGGCACTAGGGTGCAGCGCTTGGCAAGATGTGGCCCGGGGTCTGGATTCAGCCCACCTAACACTTTGATCCGGACCGTGGACTGCAACAGGCTGTTTTCTATTTATAGGCTGCTAAATAGCTTGCTGTCCATGCCTCTAAATTTCTAGGCAGTGGCTCCAGCAGTCAGATCCTATTTAAATGGCTAACAGCTCCCAGTTGCAAAACTAACCTGGATGAGGCTGGAGCCGCAAGCCCTTTAAATAACCACAGCAACCTGGGCAGCTTCCAGGCAACACAGTAGCAGTGGGGCCAGAAGCCGGGAGCCCTTTGGAGTGTTAAGTATCAGAGGGGTAGCCGTGTTAGTCTGAATCTGCAAAAGCGACGAGGAGTCCTGTGGCACCTTATAGACTAACTGAAGTGTAGGAGCATAAGCTACACTTCAGTTAGTCTATAAGGTGCCACAGGACTCCTCGTCGCCTTTGGAGTGTTATTAATTAAAAGCCTCTGGCCCCAGATAACTCTAGGGAAAGCTAATCCTCAAACCCCCGCCTTCCTGGGGTGGAGCCAGCCTTTGACTACCTACCAACATTCATTAAGTGGTCTCCCTGTGAAAATTATTTCCCACCTCTGCATTATGGACTCAGATTTGGTAATTTTGCCTTTGGTTCTGAGCATTACAATGTAGATTCCAGAGCCATACATTTGAACATGGGTTAGAAAACTCATAACACTGGGGTAAAATATAGAGCAGCCCAGGATTCCCTAACACAGGTCAGATGACTTGAGTCTAGGTAATCCTGGTTTTATGTTGCAATGTAGACATACCTACACGGGCTCTTGAACTGTGAATGTAGTTGTCCTCTCTTATCGTTGTCTGCGTTCTAGCCAGGACTGAGGCCACAGCTCCAGGAGGTAGGAGCTGCATCTGGGAACAAAATCTGGGAGTGGAGGGAGGAGAGAGAGAGGGACCTCCAATTTGAAACCTCGGTGTTAATGATACTGTAGCCATTATATGAAGAAAGTTTGTGATTTTATTTAATAATAAACATTTACAGTTTTGTTTGAATAGTACTGGTTATAAAGTGAAACAAACTACTGAACAAAAATAAAAAAAGAGAAAATCAAAGTATCATTTTGTAAATTTTTTGATACATCTTTTTTAATACTTCTTATTAGTTAACACTTATATATTCAGAGTCACCAAAAATATTTTGGGCTAAGATGTGTGTGATACATAGGTAATCATTGAATAAATCAGTACTCAGTGTCAGGCAGCGGGAATTGTATAGAAAGAAAAAACATTAAATGCTGTCATAATAAATAACAGTTACAGGCAGTCCCCGGATTATGTACAAGATAGGGAATGTAGGTTTGTTCTTAAGTTGAATTTGTATGTAAGTCGGAACTGGCGTCCAGATTCAGCCGCTGCTGAAACTGACCAGCGATTGAATAAATCAGTACTCAGTGTCAGGCAGCGGGAATTGTATAGAAAGAAAAAACATTAAATGCTGTCATAATAAATAACAGTTACAGGCAGTCCCCGGATTATGTACAAGATAGGGAATGTAGGTTTGTTCTTAAGTTGAATTTGTATGTAAGTCGGAACTGGCGTCCAGATTCAGCCGCTGCTGAAACTGACCAGCGGCTGACTACAGGA